AAGAGAGGTATGATCTTCTACTCACGCGCTATCTGCACTCTTAGCCTTCATCTTCTCCTTGCTTCTCCTACAAAATACTAACTTAAGCATCGGAGTGTTCCCGCCGGGCAAGCCCCCGGGGATTCTTCTTCTTATCCATCTCAGGTACCTTCCAAGAGCCACGTAAGTGCCAGTTAGGAGTGACCGGATTGCGCTCCATCAATTATAACTTAAATTACACATCAATAACAATTTACTAAATAGACTAAAATTGATTAAAATTCAATTTTAAAATAATGAAAAATAAACACAACAAGCTGTGTTCAATATGGGCTTGCCTTCACACTTAATTTATAATAACAAATTCTAACATTATTAAAAATTTAAATTATAGTAAACTTAGCACAATATCATAACTTGAATTAAACATCAATAACAATTTACTAAATAAAAGTAAAAATTACTAATTTAAGATTGATTTAAATTCAATTTTAAAATAATGAAAAATAAACACAAGTTCAAGTTGGGTTCAGTATGGGTTTGCCTTCACCTTATCCCAACCCTCCAATGCTTCTACTCAAACCCAACATAATGACAGTTTCTAAACTTGATCCAACCCTATAGGGGTTCAACTCGATAGCAACCAGACCTTCATCTTTTCGATTGTATTTTTCTATAGTGCATTTGAAAACCTAAGATGGCAATGTAACCCACTCCTACTAGGGCTCCAACTTGCCCTAGCCCAGTTAGGAAAATTGTTTTAATCATTGATCTAGGGTGGGTTTCAGGGAAGCACAAACTTTGGTGACCAAGGACAGGGTAGGGTGGTATTTGTCCCAATGTTTTAAAAACTGACTCAGACCAAAACTGTTTTGGCCATAGGTTTCTAGGTCAACGGTTCAATCATCTGGTTTGAATAAACGACTTATTGCAATTTAAAATAAAAACAAAAAACAACTAAAAACCATTGTCTGGGTTGAACAGGTTGATGGTTGGCCACCTGAGTTAATGATTACTGACCAAGTCAATGATTTTTGGCAAAAGATCGGAGGGGTGAAATGGAATTAGTCGCTTGGATGGTTTCCAGGCTGAACGGTTCGACCATTTGAGTTAATGACAATTCAAAAACCATGATTTGTCTAACCCACCCTGAGCCTAACACTAATCTTCCAATAGATAATGTGTACGACATATTACTTTATATCATCTTTTACATTTAATATATAAATATTATAATATAAAATCTATAATATATTATATAATATTTTATATTTCCTATAAAAAAATATAATATTTATATTATGTAATCCATGGTTTTTGAAGCATCATTGACTCAAACAGTTGGACCATTCAACCCAAAAACTGTCCAGACAAACCGGTTCCATTTCACCCTTGAGTTGTTTCATTTCACCCCTGGGCAATCAAACCATCAACCCATTCAACCTGAATAATGGTTTTTGGCCATTTTTATTTTAATTATTTTTAAATTGCCCTTTGACTCAAAAACCAATGACCAAAATTGTTCTGGTTCCGGGTTGATAATCAACCTCAATAAATATCATTAAAAATAAAAATTTAATGAAATTTAAAACATCTCTATCAAACAATACATACCACAAAAATAATGCTTGTGATGAATTTAATTTTACTTAACCCAATAAAAAATGACATAAAACTCCTTTTAGATCAATTTCTTTCAACGAAGTCCATGCATCGCACGGATCCTGGCTAATAAAATTTTTAAAGCAATTGTTACCAAATCCCAAAAACAAAAGCTTATGGCCTCATCCAAATAATGCTCTTTTAAAAACATAATATAAAGTCAAAAAGCCTAAAATTGGGGTTTAACACAGATCCTTAAGCAAAATTTCCAATTCGTTGGGCTACGAGCCGGTTAAAGTCATATTCATACATTTTATCTAATGGTAGCAAGTTGACCCATTAACACTACACCTCTCTCCGACCTTTTATGGTCTTCATTTTTTCTCTCTACCTCTTCTTTTGGTTTAAAATCACGGGCTTTTCCTGTTAAAATCGGTAACATCAAACATAACCTTTCAATGCGATTCAGGCTTCAGCCATAGTCTCATGGGTGGCATCAGATAACCCAACTAAAGCTTAATGCATCTCTATTTTTATTTGTTAATATCTTGCAGAACAGCGTTCAAGAGAAACAATCTTAACTTTGTAACAAAAAACCGGTTTACGTATTAGGGGATCAATGTGTCCACCTCCAAAAGGCATACACAACGATGATTGTCACCACCATTCCGGCATATGCAATCCGCTTGTCTGTGCGGTGTCTCCTCTCAATCAGCTTTAGTACAGAGTTGGAGAGCCCTACTGTGTTTAGTATGTCAAGTGCTTTCCTTTGTGCCCTCTGCATGGGAAGGGTAAGTCATATTAGCATATGATAGTAATGACTGAGAATAAGCAAAGTTGTGATCATAAAAGACAGTACAGGCTCAGCATCCCAGTGATGGTATTTCCACACACACAGTGTGTGTGTGAGAGAGAGAGAGAAACCAACGTGCTGAAAAATATCAAGCAATGAATTGTAACAACCTTGAGACGGTCCCTTTGCTCTGCATATTTTGAAAGGATAGCTACCCCTGTAGAATAAGATTCTTCAAGCATCCTGGATGAATTACGGGCTGATTGCATTGCTTGTGCTTCATCATCAAAAATTCTCAAAACATGAGCAGAGTCCCCATTCTAAAATAGAGAAAAAAATAAACAAGATTGTCAAAGGACCAGAAGTTATAAAAACGATACAGCAAGTAAAAGTGGAAATTAAGAGTAAAAGATAACATACAGCTCTCTCAAGTAGTTCAGCCCTTTCTTTAGCTTCCATCATCCTTTTCTGATGGCGTAATAAGTGCTTATCTAGGCTTTCCTTCAAGGAGTCAGCCTCTTCAGCCACCTGTTCTACTTTTCTGTACAACAAAAAACAAAGCACATTCAAGTGATGGTGTTCTATAGTCAAGTTGAAAGCAACTATGAGAACTTTGATAATTGCTAAAAAGCATCAGGTTCAAATGGTCATTGTTTGTACAGATTCTTTATATCCTAAAGATACAATTGTGAAGCGCTTAGGCATTTGCATGATTTCTGACCATTCATTAAGTCCACCTCTAGGTACATTCCCAGTTACAGAAGTACATACTTCTCTTTTTTTATTTTTCACTAAAGGTACACAACTAATTTAACAAAGTTCAAATCATAAATATGATAATATAAGGAATATTCTACCATAGACTTCAACATACCAAATAACCAAATGGCACATGAGAATGACTAATAAAACAATTATCTTGAAAAGGTTGATCTATTGGGCAGGATTCCTCTACCAATGCAGGAGTCACCTATGTTACCTCAGCAAGCTCAAAGGTTCTCATCCCAAGAAATCCGCAAGTGATAGTCGCATCTCCAGACTTCTGTTCAAAAAAACTGTCCTCTTCAAAGAAAAGAACTCTGTATCAATATAATCCTCTTCCAAAACACTTTTCGAATGATGCAGATCAATGCTTCCAAGGCTGACTGTATCTTCTGCATCAGAGTCACTACCATCTTCCTCTTCTGCATCAAAGATTTCAGCCCTGCCACGTGAGAATTAGTAGCAGCATGTGCCTTTTTAAAAGGACTCGAAGAGTCATTAGGCCTCGTCCCAACATCCATCTCCTTCTAGCCCAGGTTTTTCAAACCTTCAACTAGAGGCCCATTTAAAGAGTCACGCTTGGACTGGCCCAAAGAAGCCAAAGAGCCTAATTGTAGGCCCATAGAAGGTTCAGTATTCCTTTTGTCTTCTTGCCTTCAAGGGAAAGGATTTGAAAGGCTAGTTTTGGCACCATCAACTACTACCTAAGCAAAAGATATCTCAAGAGACTGTTTGTAGGTCTTGTTTTGGCACCAAGACACCCCCCTCCCTTTTCAACTAGTGCTATGCATCTTCATTCATCTTAATATAAAATATTTTTATTAAAAATAACCTCCTCAACCCCCCCCCCCCCTTAAGGAGGCTTACACCTCTTACATTCTGAACTATGCCTCACGCCTCTAGGTAGTGGAACTCCTTGCGCCACACCTCCGCATTTTAAAACATTGTTATAAACTAGATCCACTGAAGCATCCAAGAATATTAATGTATCATCAGCATATTGGAGGTGAGAGATGGCCATTCTATCTCTACCAACCTTGAATGTTGCAAACAACCCCACATCCCTTCCTTTGACTATCAACTTGGTCAAAACCTCCACCACTAGCACAATAAGCACTGGGGAAGTGGATACCCTTGTCTCAAGCACCTTGAAGCACTAAAAAACTAAATTGAAACCCCACCCACCAAAACACAAACTCCTCCATCTTTACCCAAATCCATCCTCCTCATAACTTCTTCTAAAAAGCCCCATTCCACATGATCATACATTAACTTGCAATCACCCCAACTTCCCCACTCCTAATTCTTGCATCCACACATTCACTTGCAATCAAGACCTCATCTAGAATTTGTTTCCCTTGGACAAAATCCATTTGAGTCAGGCCCACCACCAAATGCAACACCATCTTCAACCTACTTGATAGCACCTTGGCCATTATTTTATACGGACTGGAGATCAGGCTTATCGGCCTAAAATCCTTTACTATAATAGCTCCTTTCACTTTCAGAATAAGGGATATGAAAATTGCATTGGATGACTTTTCCAATTTTTTCTCCTCCCACTTCCAACAAGACAAGACAACAAACATCTTGCGAGAGCCACCTCCACTCCTCCCCTCAAACAACTCCTCCTACTTAACATCTATTGTATTCCAAACCTCTCCCCCTTCCCCCACTACATCTTTTTACAAACTCTCCTCCCTCCTTTTGAACTCCTCAATAGCTCTTCTAGAAAACGCCTCACCACCCAAAAAGAACAAACCAAGGCTTTTTCCAATCTCAACATTCTTCTCAACAATTTTCTCAAGATCCAAATAACCTTTCACTAAATCAACTTCATCCCCATCCACATTGTTTTTCCTCTTCTACTGCAAATTAACTATCTGCTACGAATCTGAAGTAATGGGGACAATAGACTCTCCCCCACCCAGGCTCACCGATGTGAATGCCTTTGACTTCACCCCATTTCTCTTATAAACTTTCTTAAAGTTCCTTGTGGGACCTACCCCAACCATACTGAGCTTCAGCCATGAGAAGACCTTTGTGACATGGGCAATGCGCAACTTACTGGAATAACGAGATTCCTTAGGAACCACCCCAATGCCTTCGGCCTCACTTCTCTTCTCAACCTTCCTCCTACGGCCCAAATTTATTCCTAATTTATCAATCACCACCTCCTCAACATTCAGAGGAAACAAAGATGGTACCTTGTCCATAATGACACTCCTTCCATCTAACAATACTAAACCCCTTTCTAAAGCACCTCCAACTTCTTCATCTTTTGGACAAACTTCAACATCTACCTCACCATCCTCCTTTCCACTCCCTAACCCAAACTTCACCCCTTCAACTTCCTCCTCTGGACCTCTCAAACTTGGCTCCACCGAAGTAGAAAAAATTCCTTGATTCAACAGAACATCAACCTCCTAAAGAATTGAGTTACCACAGTCCACAACGCACTCAGCATTTCTCTTATCACAATTTCCAGGAGACTGATCACCCACACCGTCACATGGGCAGCAACTATAATCACCATGCACTTCCTCAACATCAACATCAACATCAACCTTCCTCTTGCCTTTTGTGTCATATTTTCTAACCACCTAGACCCATCTCTCTTTCTTCCCCTTTTGCAACTTAAGAGAATTATTTCTAAGACAACCCTGACCTTTTTAGTCCTTGAGCATTTGAAAATAGTGTTGCAACTTTTGTCAAGTGGTAACCTGGACAACGAATTCCTTGAACCCTCCTTAAACATTTTCTTAAAAACTCCCCACTCAAGCCTCTACTCGATCTCACATCCCAACATGACTTATCCGCTAATGAAGTCAGAAGCTTATCATTATCCAACCTAACACTCTTTCTCCTCTGTTCTTCCACGTGTCCTACCACTACTTTCTCCATGTCGTCCCCAATAATTTCCAATAAATGTGGTTCTTCCCTAAGAACCAAAATAATCTTCAGTTGGGCCTCGTTCCCATCTTGGCTCTTCAGTTCCCAACAGCCACCACTAACATTGGGATCCACCACGCTACTCTCTTTAATTGATCTTTTGCCTGTAAAACATTCTTGACTATGTTTTATATGCTATTTCTTATTTTATTGTTTACAATTTCACTTTGAATATGTTTTGGTTATGTATTTTAATTTGAGCTAATAATCTTTTTTAAATATTTAATTTAAAAATAAAGTTTATAATTTTAATTAATACTTTAATATTTTCTTAATTTATTTTGAATTTTTACATTTTTTGCAATTTCTTTTACATTTTTTATTTTTTTAATCTTGTGCCTTGCTTCAAAAAGGTGCACCTGCCTTGTGCCTTGTGCGTCAGGTGCAAATGACCTTTGTTCCTTGCATTATTAAAACAACAGAAGGATCGTTATCAACATTTAATGCTCCTTGTAACAATGAACTAGGCTAATCCATCCTAGATAAAAGGATTAAAGACCAAATCTATGCTTAGTTACAGATGGACGATTTCTAATTTCACTATGATTCATAGTGAAGGCCATTTGGATATTTGAAAATGTTTATGTTTTCATTTTCTTGTCATCCAAATTGTTTATGTTTCACAAATAACTACTTAGGTGCAAAACAAGAAATTACCTGATCATAGCATCATGTTGCATATTTTTTTTTCTAGGTTCAAAGGGGTTTCAACAGGTAGACATGGTAGAACAAACAAGAAAATGGAATAGTTCTCACAATCTGAAAACAATTTGCACTTGAACTCTGGAGAGAAGCATCAAACAAGTATATCAACCTGGTCATGACTGAAACAGGAAATACGAACTGATTCATTTGTTTTCAAGCGACATCACCGTAAATAAAACAGAAAGATAAATCTGACAAAAATCAATTGAATAACACTATATCAGAATTTTCTTCAAATGATAATCGAGAACCTTAATCTCAAGATAAATAAATGATGCAAAAAGGAGGCAAATAAGAAATTCCTAAGAATTCCCCTGTACAATCTCCCCAAGGTAGTAATTATTACGTTATCAAAATGAATTAATTGAAAAAGGCGCGAGACCCACATCCAATTATCAGTTCTATGGTCTCCCTAAGCTTAATTAGAAACCAACTTAGAAACAAATAGGAAGCGGTACCTCTTCCAGAGATCACGTTGGGGTTTGGAGGCGACGGATCTCCAAAGACGATCCATCTCGACGCAGAGAGATTGGATCTGAGAGATGTCCCTCTTGATAGCGTAGGAGAGTTCAGGTGAGTCGACGCCATTAGAGGATGAAAATTCGAATCGTTCGAGCCTCTCCAATCCGCCTCTCGTCTTTAGTAACAATCTCTTCGAACTCTGGTAGATCTCCGACAACGTCCTTCCTTCCACGGCCATCACGAAATCCAAACATATACCGAGATCGAGAGAAAGACAGCGGTCGTTTTGATTTTAAAGAGGAGGAATTGGATATTTGGATGACACATAACGAGAACGAGGGATGTGTAGGTACTTTTCGCAAAACTTGTATGGCAATTGGCAAGCAAGGACCAGGAAAGGAAGAAGATTAATACGGGTTCTCGTGACCCGTTTGGCACAACCCACACAAAACATGTCCTCTGAAGTTCAATGCATTGGCAATATAAAGACCCTTCCAATGTATGGGTATTTGATATTTGGATCTGTTCCGTACCCTATATGGGTCCATATTGTTGTATACTAGTAAGTATAACACGAAGCATATATGCATTATTGAATTAGTTAATAATAAATTTCCTTAATTAATTACATATGAAATTGACTTAAATAATTATGATATCAAATAAAATTAGCAAATATATTAAAATGTAGACTAATAATTTAACAATTAATTTTTTATTTAGCTTATTAAATTACCTTAGATTGACTTAAAATGTCAAAATATGTATTATTAAACTATTGTTTTAATTTAACTAAAATAATGGAAGGGTTTTGACCCATCAAACAACACCCCCCCCCATAATAGACGTAATATATTGAATTTACAGTTTAGTTAACTAGTATATTCTAAAACGCATGCGATGGGGATTGCTTTGGCAAGGCGGGGATGGGGATGGGGAATGAAATCCCCATCCCGCCTTAACCATGAATATATATATGTATATATATTAAAACAAATTTAGAATATTATTTATATTTTAAAACTTTCTTTTATTTTAGATAAATTTATTTTTCAAAAAAAATACTATTAATTAACAAATTTTAAGAATGCGGTTCCTTGTAAACCCATCTCTATCAAGGATCAAGGATGTACAACTTTTATCTCTGGTAGGGGTTAGGGTTGGGAATGGGGAATATGATCCCTGCCCCATTGCCATTCCTATCAATTGGTGCCATGTAGGCACCACATCAGAAAAACAGTGCTTCAGAAAATGGCCTTTTGTTTGTACCATTTTTCTAAATAAAAAAAACGTTACTTTAGACCATGCCTTAAAAATCGGGAAAATGTGATGAAGAAACACCAAATTCAATATTTTCTCAAAAAAAAGCCCATTGCTGCCAACGGAACAATGACATGGCATCATCTTAGACGTTGGATAATATGACAAATGCTGAAAACGGTTCTATAGCATTGATACCAAACAAAACCAATTAAATTTTCCCAGAAAACAGCATATGTGGCAGCACTGCTTCCAAACAAAAAATAACGAGAAAATGGTGCCTATAACTCAGACATGCACAGCACCGATGCCAAATCCCGATATCACTTGAGCGTGGATTTCATGTATATGGAACACTGGCGCATTCACTCGTGATTGGTTATGTAGCTGCTTACAGCAGTGCGAGCAGCAAATCTCAACTGCGAGGTGCCACTCTTGTCACAGGCGATGGAATTCCAGCAAAGGTGTCGAGGGATTTGGGGCATCTGGAGAATCGGTTCACTTCGAGAAAGGGTTCCTTTTTCTGCAACAATTGAAGCAAGGCACATAATGCTGGCATGCTTTTCTATCAAGAATTCGATCAGAGTTGAGTTCCGGAAGATTGACCCAGAGAAGACAATGAACAAATAAATGAATGACTTTCGAAATTCCGGATGCTAGTGGCAGTCACATGGTGAAGCATCTGTTAATGGGTCATGGCTATCACAGAGCACATGCTCATACTGCTTTTTACCCAGAAATCTGTAGACACAATAGTTCAGTCATCTACATGGCAGCTTAGAAATTTAACACGCAAACGGGCTTTAAATCCAGTATGAATCATAGAGACGGATCTTCATCATCCGTAGCATGTCCAACAAGAAATTTCTGGGAACAGCGAGCTATTCTTCATGTAATGACCTTAACTATTATCGCGAATAACTCGAACAGTGCCATGATGATCACTAAATGCTTGATTTAAACATTAACTGGGTTAACACAAACATGTCAGGATAGAGTGATTAGACAGACATTAAGATTCACAGGCAACTTCACCCAAATAGAGCCCATGGCTGAAACTGATAGAATCATGATTATGATTTTTAAGAGAATTTAAATATTCAACATGCAAAACTAGGGTGCTTTTTAAATACCAAAACAGGTGAACATAAATGTACATACAGCCAATGGCCTAGGGTGGGAGAAACCAACAGTAAGAGCAGGCAGCAGAAGCAACAAGTAGCTCTGGGGAGAAAACTTCCAAGGCACTCGACCGGCTTACAACATCATTTTGAGAGATTGAGACATAGAAGTTACCCAGCATCTTAATTGATGAAAACCACCCATGCAACTCTACAAAACTTCCATATAAACACATCAGAAAGGTGCTGAGCTCGTTCTTCGAAGCTGATACTTTGGTTCAGGAGGTGGTGCACATGGCAATATCTTTTCCAGTTCCTGCAGGAAAGCAGAACGATTTGTGAATCTGGGGTCTAACAATGGCAAGCAATAGAGAAAATTAAGAACATTTCATTTTTCCAGGATAACATCACCCTTCAGCATTGCACAATAGAAACTTGGAATTCCCTTTATTGAAGGTCATGTAATGCAAGACGGTAACATATTATGTCAAATTTACTATTTCTTTAACTATGAGTACCCAGTAAGCGGTGAGACAAGGACCCGGGCATTCAAAGCTGATACTAAAGAAGTAAAAGTTCAATAAACTGAGAGAAACAAGAAAATTGATATATGATGATTATGATTTGTTTAGTTCAGATTGATTCAGAGACTGTATATATCAGATGCTACATTTCTGACCAAACTATTTTAAATTAACCTAGTTGATGACTACTACAACAATTTGAGCAGTCTTTGGAGGTGAAGTTGTCTCTTTTCCTTTTGGGTGATTGCTGGTCATCCTCCTTTGTATTCTCTTTATGTTTTTATCATCAAACATAAAAATGCAATTACAATAAGCCATCTGATATGGTGTGAATAAAAGTTAACGTTAGACCAACCTTGCCTGTACCAATGTTTTAAAAGTTGAAAGATTTATGGATTGGGGAATCTCCTTTGAAAGATTTGTTTCTCTCTTTCTTTCTATCTCTAACCTTAAAAGTTAAACACATATCTGACTTGTAATCCCTTCTTCCTCACCCTTTGGATTTGACTGGAATTTGGGCTTTAGAAGAAATCTACGAGAGTCTGAAATCCATTCTGTTTCTTGCCTCCTGAACTTGCTGGAAGGGGTCGTTATTGATAATTCTAAGGGGAACAAACGTCTTTGGGCTCCAAATCCCGAGGGAAGTTTTTCTTGTGCATCATTCTTCAATTCATTGGTCTTGACTAACTCCTCCGTTGAGTCTTTCCTGTGAAGGAAGTTAGGTAGGCCCTATTCCACCTAAAGTAGTCTTTTGTTAGGAAGTCTTCCATGGAAGCATCAATACTTGTGATTTATTGCAAAAAAGAAAAGGAGACCTGGGTGGCCTCTTTCCCCTAACTGGTGTACCATGTGTAAATTGAATGGTGAGATTGCCTACCACATACATATATCCTCTTCGTTGGTTTGTTGTATTTGGAATTGGTTTACTGCCCCTTTTTGGAGGTGGACTCCTACAAGCTTTGGTAGATTGTTTGATGCTTCCTCAATGAGGTGCTCAAACAGAAGAAGACGGTTAATGGGGAAGTGCACAAGGGCTGCTGTAATATGGACCTTGTGGGAGGAAAGGAACACAATAAGAGTTGCACATTAGGTGAGGATAGTGGAATTGTTTGCAGAATTTACGTTGAATGACATAATCAATAATTGGGATGGGGGACAGTTGCAACTTCTTCCAAACAACAAAAAATTGTTAAAGAATGGACAGAACCAGGCAGAGGTCGGTGGAAGTTAAATTTTCATGGGAGCAGTGTGAGCAACACCAGGCCATCTGGAGTGGAGTTGGGGAAGTAATAAGAGATGAGAATGGATGTATTCTTGCAATGTATTTATAACCGATAGGTGAAGGTGATTCAGTAAGGGCAGAGATGAAAGCAACAACTGTTGGTTATTAGATGGGACAAAGACAGTTTGGTGTTTCAGAAATGAAATTAAGCGTTTTAAATGGTTTTCAAAGGATATGCAGATTGAGGTTCATTAGGTACAGTTTTTTTGGGCTGATGGTTTGGCAAAGTAAGGAGTTCATAGATAACAGTTTTTTTGGGCTATGATGTCAAGTGTTGTAAAATGCAAGGGCCAGGTGGGATAGCAGATGCTATTTGATTTCTTTTTGATTGTAATCATGACTTCTTGTCGTATTTTCTTTTTTTTTCTAATTAATGAATGAAACTTTTTTCTCGTTGCTGATAAAAAAAAAACGTTTTAAAACTTGAAAGCATGGCAAGGTGGCATTATCTTCCAACGAGAGGTAATAAGCTTTTTGGCATGACACTTAAACCTTCATACATTCAATAAAACCATGAATTAAGATTGTATTTAGTGCACAGACAAATTGACCATTATATAAATTTACTTCAGACAAGATAAAAAAACAAAATGCATTATTAGAAAGTTCATAATATAAAATAAAACATGAAATACATGTAAACAAACTCTAAATAATTAAACAAATAGTGCATACACAAGCAGATAAGGAAAACTTAGAATTGTCTTTAACAGCCTAGTGATGAGAACCTCTTTAATTATAATGTGAAACACATTTTCCTTATACAAGGATCCCAAGTTTTCGATGTGTGAGCCTGTCAGGCATATTCCTTGTATGTTTAGGCAGCTTCAGGGTTGAGACTCAGTGCCATTTTCCTTAAGGCTGTGTTTGGTTTCGGTGTAAATTTATTTGCACTAGTACAAATGCATTGGAGTGCAAATGAAAAAAAAAAATGCAAATTCTCATTTAATTTTGTTTTGGGTTTTATTTTATTCTGCTCCAGGTCTTAATTTACTTCATTTGTACTGCAATCGAACAAAATAAACTAAATTTTGAAACAAAAATAGGCCAGAATTTACACTCAAATCATTTGCATTGCCATAGCTTTACAGCGGTGCAAATTGATTTGCATTGCAACCAAACACAGCCTAAAGCTCAAGGTGTGTTCCATAGATGCTTCTTAAGATACTGACAACTTGCATACCATCAAATAACAGTATTGCACAACATAAACTTGTCTTGAAAATAAGTTAATTTGAAATTCATCAAAAAAAAGTAAGTTAATTTGAAACTAACCGTCATATACCCACATGTCAGTGAAGCATATTTGATCAAATCAACTCTTCTTTTGTCAATTACAACGACTCTACTTATAGACTCAACAGAAGAACTCAGAAGTCCCTTTATAACCTCCAATTTGGACTCAAATCGACCCAAAACAACTTCTAATTACTTCAAACTATGACAGCATAGGCAATCTATAGAGACACTCAAACACAGAATCTAACTCCTAAAATAACTCTAGTAACAATTAACTCAGGACCCATCTTCATAAGAGTTTGGCAAAGCTTTATAGACAGTTGCCAACCTAACACAATCTCCTCCTTTATCTAGGCTAGGGACTAGCAGTGTAAGACATGTTCACACTGGCAGTTTGATAACACTTTAATAATCCTACTAAAATTAAGTCCAGATCTGCTGACCACAAGAAATGGGTGTGGCAGAAATTTGTATGCTGAGATGGATGAGTGGAAAAGCTATAAAGGATAGTGTCAGAAATGAAGTCATTCGAAGGAACTTAAGAGTGGCTCCAATAGGTGAGAAAATGAGAAAAAGAAGATTAAGATGGTTTGGTCACATGCATAGAAGATCACCTACAGCACCTGTAAGAAGAAGTGATCTGTTATAAGTTGATAGGACTAGAAGGGCTAGGGGCAGACCGAAAAGGGCACGAGTCAAAGTAGTAAGAAATGATTCTAGTGATCATAATTTAACAATGGATATGACAATAAACAGAACGGAATGGAAAAACAGGACTCATGTAACCAACCCCATATAATTGGGACAAGGGCTTGGATGATGAAAACAATGATGATCTGCTTGCCATGATACACCCACCGGTCACAACTAGAATTTACTATAAATAATAACTTCGAGTTTTACTAAAAATAATAAATTTCCAAAAGATTAAAACTCAACTCCATTCCTAAAGACGCCTGCAACTAGAAAATAAATTTAAAAGCTCAGAAAAATGCCAACATTCCTATCACCATCACCAAAATTCTAAAATTGGTAATATTTCTCCATGGATTTTTTTCTTGGATCCTTGTCTGCATTAGTAGGGTTTAGATTATGTCTTGCAAAAAGGATGTAAGGAAAATCTATGCTGTTAGACATTCATCAAAAAAAATCTATGCTGTTAGAAACAATGTTTTAAAATGCAGAGGCGTGACGCGAGGCGTTCCACTACCTAGAGGCGTGAGGCATAGTTCAGAATGCAAGAGGCGTAAGCCTCTTTAAGAGGAAGGGGGTTAGGAGGAGGATGAAGAGTAAGAGGGGATCTCATTTTTTCTTTATTTTTAATAAAAATCTTTTATATTAAGAAGAATAAAGATGCATAACATTAGTTGAAAGGGGGGTTTTTGTTGAAGCGAAGGCGGAGCAAGACCCCCCTAACTCAAAAAAACAAATTGGGCTACATTGAAAAGGGGGCGGGGGGTCTGGGGGGCGAAGCCGAAGGGGCAAGGGGCAAACCACTTTCTTTCCCCTTGTCTTTTCTTCCCTTCCCTTTCCTTTCCTTTTCTATCCTTTTCTCTTTTTTTCTTCTCTTTCTTTTTCTTTCCCTTCCCTTTCTTATCCTTTCCTTTCCTTTTTTTTTTCTTTTTTCTTTTGTCTTTTTATATCAAATGTGCATGAGGCGCATGAGGCATACACATCTAGCACACCTCATGAAAAAAGCACAAGAGGTGTACGCCTCTTGCACCTGAGGTGTACGCTTCAGAGGTGTCAGCGCCTCTGGCATATGCCTCAGGCGTTTTGGGAGAGCCTCGCCTGGAAGCGCACCTCCAGGCGTACGCCTCCCACGACACCAGAAGAAATTTGACCAATCAACCCCCCAGGTGAATTTTGATAAATAATATCTGATTGGTTACCACTTTTATGATACCGGTTGATTGGTTACAAGTTATTTCCAGTATGATGTCTTTCCAGTATCATAGTCAAACCCAGTTTGTAAAGAATAGCCAAAGTATGGAATCTTTTTTTTTATCAATAACTCTGAAAATTTTCATTAACTAAGATGCTTTAATATACAAGAAGTTACAAAGAAATCAGCATAGAAGCTGACCCAAGACAGAATTACAAATGTGCCCAAAACATATCTGTTCTTTGAACCCCTTGCTTTGCTAAGCTATCAGCCAAGCTGTTGGCCGATCTCCTAACCCAACCCACCTGAATAGACATATTTCTTGACATCCAATTTGAACCTTCTGAAATCACTCTTCAGCTGCCAGGTCACTCCTTCCCCTTTTT